AGGCCTGCAGAGCTTTAGGGGAAAGATTCCGTAAAATAAAGAATGTTGCTTTACGGATAAAATGTGTCTGCGAAGAATTCATGTTCCTTTTCAATCTGCGCTCGTATGCTCACCTGATTTGAGAATTATAGCATTTGTCGAGGGCGATGAACGGTTCACTTAGAATAAAAAATGTTCGGAATTGTACATGCTCTTTTTATTTTTACCAATGGGCGCTCAAACCATAGATAGTGTTCTAAGCTTAGTCTCACTATTAACTACTGCGAATTTCAAATAAAGTAAATTGAAATCACAAAATCTTAATGATCAATATAAATCATCTAGTGTTTCATATCACTTAAACAATAATCACCCATATAAACCTTTTTTAAAACCTCAATATTGTGGTTGCACTTTGCTGAAACATTAGAACAAACATTTACTAATAATATGTAAGGGTAAGTTGCTATGCACAAACAAAGCAATTAAAGGTCTTTGGAAAAGTTCGTAATGAAACGCATTCCATAAGGATGAGTGATCAATTATGATTGTCATAATTGAAACATTAGATTACGATTTGTTAGAATTCAGTCATTATGATATGAAAATCTTGAATTCACTTTTCTGAAGTAACTAAATGAGATAGCTGGGCTTATAAAGAATATCTATGTCCTTGAATTTGCCAGTGCTCAGGAAATATAGAGATGCACATGATTGTACCTCTTGTGAGCTGAGATTGCAGGTGCCATTCTTGGCAAGCAAAGTCTTGCAGAGTTTACTCTAATTGATTGATTGAAAATGAAGCACGTCAAAATGAAATTAATAGAATTTGAGTCGAGTAATCCTAACAATATGGTCGGATAACTCGCGTACCGTTACTCAACCCGTTGCTGTTGTTGAGTTGTCTGTTTTTTCCCACTCTTGGACGAGAACTTTTAACACAGCCCAGTGATTTCATCCTTGTGTTATTTTATGTTGAGTTACATCCCTAATTTTCATTACAGTATATAAAAGATTTCGTCCGTCGTGAATGGTAGACAGCCTTACAGAGCCGATCTCTAACACGAAATACAATAATACCTGCGCGCAAGGAAGCGACGCGCCGACGCCTCTGAAATACGGATTTAAAAAATCAAATTAATATAATATAATATCTAATATTTATAATTAAAAATTTAGATATCAACTGTTTTTGCAGTAGAAAAGGATTTTCGGGTACAGTTGTTAGTAGACGACGCCAACAGGTGTGCCTATTCCAGAAGTTAGAGCTTCGTAAGGTTTTCATTCTGGCCTTATCTTGACGCAATTTTCGTTTAATTTCAAATTCGCAAAAAGCCTGATTGTACCTGGGAATTAACACATTTTATTTTTTTAAGCAATATTTTTGAAATTATCTCCAAATTATAGGACTGTATTGTCTTGGCCAAATAAGTGTGTCTTTCGCTTTTTTTCCAATTCACAAGTAACGAAGTCTACTCAAAGATGAATAATGTATAGCATTTGGTTTGTTTTCTTCTGATTAAGCCGTTTTTTGTTTGATTCTTCACTTTTTAACGTGTGCTGAAAAACGAGTGAATCATTAACGGATTGATGTTGCGGTAGACCAAACAGTCCGAGACAAGCTTTTTATATATTAATTTAAGCAGTTAACCTTCAAAACACTACCTGATGTAAAAACTTTTTTTCTAGAAAGGTAAGGCAATAGATTATAAGAAAAACGAATGGGAAAGGTTAAAAGATTCGTGTAAAGTAAGAATGAGAGGAAGATAAGGGTATAAGGGTTGAGACCTCAATTGTCCTGAATTAAAAGGAAAGTGAACTGCTCGGTTAAACCAATGGATACCCAATTCGTAGCCCTTCTTCTATTAAGTTTGGCTCTGAGTGTTCACCTCTTGCAAAAGAGAAATGTTTTCAACATTTGTACTGTAACTTTGTGGTACTCTTAGTACAGTGCTTATGAGCGCTGTCGACACGGGGCGGGTTGCAAGTTTTACGTCTATCCTCAGACTCTTCAAACCTCGAGCCATGCTCATAACTAGTTCATGTCATGTTCGAAGTTGTCACGAGCATGGTTCGTCCTTGTTGCGACAAACTTGGGGGAAATACCACCATACTTGCTGGCTTCTGCTAGTACCTAAAAAAAGGAGGATATGGGGATCGCGTATTCTTTAATCGCAAAACATGCAAACTACATATGCTTGTGTTTTGGATTTCATGGATTCATTTGTGCAAATTTAATTGCAAGTGTATCTATCGGAAACGGTGTTGCGTAGCAGCCGACAGGGTCGTGATACATTCATGATATTTCTTAAATTCATATTTTTTGTTTTGTACGCTTGATTTGCCCTTTAAAAGTAGAAAAGCTTCTGCGGGACAAAATAATGTTATATAATGGTTCTTAAGTGGGAGTTGGGCGTATAGCCTGATATAAAAGAATACGATAAGTTAGGAAAAGAAGACTGCCCTTCTATGGACCCTTTCTCTCCCCTTGTCCTCCTCTCCTGCATTCCTCCTCCCTTCCCCCCTCCCCACTTACTTTATCTGAAGATGTTCAGCTATCTTCAAAAACAGTTTGGCCTCCTTTTTTGCTTTCGCCACGTCCTTTTCTAGATCTTATAAATACTATAATTTGATCTTTCTCCTCCTTATCGAAAAAATCTCGGTCCAAACTGGATTGATCTATATTTTTGAAAGAGTGAATGAATAACATAAACAGTGTTTGGCTTCAGTTTCAGTATCTTCTCCATAGCAAGTTATAGATCCAACACAAAAGCCGACTTTTGCGTCGATACTTCAATAGTTCCGAGACGCACTTTGTACTATGCCTATTTTGTTTACTT